CTGTGATGTGTACATCCTGACTTCACTTAACAGATTCAGTTTTCTTTCCTGTGTATAGCTTCTTTGGAAAACAAAGGTTGTGCTTCTTGTTCAATTTTGTCTAGAAAAAGAGTCACAGACACACTTGGTAGGCAGAGGCAGCTCAGTGCAGAGAACCATGTACCTATTCCTGCTATTCTCTGTGAAACTGATTCTCCTGGCAAAGCCAACGTGACAGTGACATTTTCATATTCATTATTGCCCATGGTGGACTGAGCAGGCACTGGCCATGTGTCCATGCAATAGTGTCTAGAGAGAGACTATGGACAGGAGTAACTTTGCATAACTAATTTGTTTCCAGTAAATGCTGTACAGTGTAGAGGAAGAAGAAAACCAATATACTGTTGAAACCAACCAATGTACTTCTTAAAAAAACCAACCAGGGAAGTACTGGAAATCCCCCCAGTACTATGTGGCTGTCAGAGGCCAGTGGTCTCTGTAGATGTGTGTTTTGTGATCCTTGGGGAGGAAAAATTAGGAAAAGCCAAAGGGGAAGAAATAAAGGCACAGCAAGATATTAGCTATGGTCTTCTAGAAATCATGAGGTTCAGCTTAAATCCCATCTAAGTCCTTGAAGTGTCTTTTTGCCTGTGATCACAATACATGCCTGAGGTTTTCTCTTATGAGTTGCTGCTGACTACTTCGGTCCTTCACAGAATTAATCCTTAGATAAAATTAGAAGCTGGCGCCGTTTTTCAGCCGATGCTACTAAAAATACATTGCATTGATCCTCTGTGTGTACTTTGGCATGCATGGGAGCAGAGAAAGAGTAGGCAGCTATTGAAACTGAGGCACAGCAGCATGTTCTGAAGTTGAACTTCTTCCGTGGCAATCAGCTGTGCAGCTCTTAAGGAGGCCTGGGAACAAAGCAGGTTTGAAACTGGAGTTTTCTGTGGCTTAGTGTGTCAGTGCAGCTCCACAGACATACTTAGTCCTTCAGAAATGGAAACTGTATGTACATCAGTTACTGGAGAACTCTGCTGACTTTTTTCAGCATTTGTGTTTTCTTATTGTGGTGAATTGCAAAAGTTGCAAACAGGCTTTGTGTTGATAGGGGTGAAGAGCCAATTTGCAGACATTCTCAGCTCCACTCAGTTTTGTGGTGCAGTGGAGAAGGCAGAAAAATTATTAATTGAATCCTAATCTTCTGTTACTTTACCTGGCAGGCACTGACACAACTGCATAGCTCATCTAAAGGCATGAAAAAAACTAGTGTAAAAGGTGCCTTTAATGTTATTTCTACAGAAGTCGTTGCTTGCTGTGTTTCAAGGGATGATAGCAATGGTACATTCAGGAGTGGCATCCAGGACCTGGATCATGACTAGATGATTACTGCAAAAACAGCTGTTTCCCCTCCCACCACTTGCACCCAATGCTGCATGTTAGTTCCCCTCTGCCAGACTTTTGGCATTCCCCTGGCATAGAAGCAGGATGATTTCTTTGAGCGCTGTTCTTGAGCAAAGAGCAAAAAAATGGTTCAGACAGTTTTTTGTGGTGCCTGACATTGAGCAAACAAGGTTCATTTGCACAGCCTACAGGACCTGTTCTGCTTGTGGATGCCAACAAGCAGCTGGTGAGGGAGAAAAGTAGTGTACAGAAGTTTTGTTAGTAATTATCTGAACATTTAATTGTTAGGCAAAAGACTTCTAGATCCATCTGTGGTAGTGGAATATGCTTTAAACATCTGTTTCTCATTGCAATCCTCTTACCATGTTGGTTTGTTGAAAGAGCACTGCTGCAGGCCTACTCCTGGAGTTGTAAGCAAAATTAGTGAAATTGAACTAGTTGCAGACATCAGCTGGACTGGTGTTATGCCTTGCACACATAAGGAAAAGCTTGCATAAACTCCCTGAAGACAGACCAGTGGGGGCAATTAAGAGTTGTTCCCTCAATGAGCTGAATTGAGAATAGACTTAAGAGTTGGTGCAGGTGCAAGTTTGCACCAATGGTGTTGAACCAATACAACTTTCTTCATGATACTCTGCTTTTATTTATAGTAATTTATAGTAATTTATAGTAATTATAGCACATTCCTGATTAAAAAGAGCCTGGTAAATTTGAAGTTTAAAAAGAGTGCCCTTATATTATTTTATTCCCATATACTTGTTTTGTGGGGAACAAAATCAGTAAGTACCACTTGAAGGTAATAAGCTAATTGAATTTGGTTTATGGACTAGGGTTGTTTTTAAATAGTGTTTCTAGCTGGAGTGATCAAATGGCCAGACAAAGGTAGAAAATATTTATTCAACCTTACTGTTATTTTTGTAATTATTTGATGCTTTTGAGTACTACAGAAGTGGCTATTGACTGAATTATTTGACTAAGACCAGTTAATTAAACTAACATTTTAAGTAAATGTTATTTATGTAGCCCTGATTCCTGGATCTCTTCTGCTCTCTTCTGCTTCACTTTCTTCATTTCATCCTTCTCTTTCCTACAGGAGAATATAGCATATACCTTTGCATCATTTTCAGTTCCTTTCTCTTTTCACCTCCTATCTCTTTCCTTTTCTCCCCACTCTTCACCACCTCCACCTCTGCATCTTCTGTTTCTCCTTTCTTCTTCCACTTCTTGATTCTGTCTGTGTACTGAAGTTCTCTTTTCAAATTCATCTTATCTGTCTCTCTCTCTGCCTCACATGACCATCACTCACCCACTCAAACCAGAGCATCTGTGCACAGTCTTGGAAACATTCAGGTACTTAAAACCTAGAGAGCAACTGTATTGGCATGAATATAAGTCAGGAAAATAAAATATCCATGAAGCATATATTAGAATAACCCCTGGTCTGGCTTTTCAACCTGCTTTGCATCGTCTCTGCATGCTCCCTGACTCTGCATTGTCTGCTTGCCAGACTTCTGTGTGTTCAAGCATTATATATGAAGCTCCTTGTTACCTGGGAGCTGGTCCAGTCCTGCTCCCTGTGCCAGCCAGCCAGCCTGCCTGATATCTTCCTGCACTGCTGCAGGTGGTCCAGCTGCCTTTGGCCACCAGACACCATCCCTGGGGCTCTGAAAGGCAAACACAGGCTGTCCACACTTGAAACACAGTCTTCTAAAACAAAGGCTAGCTGTCTTTTTGAAGTAGTTTCTGTAAAAATGAATAAATTTGCTTAGGTTACTCTGGTAAAAATTTCTGGCTTCAGATCAGTCGCTACAAAACAAGTAGATTTTGATCAGTGCTGATTATCAATGCTGTCTGCAGAGTTGCTGGAAAAGGGACAGGTGTAAAAAATCCTGCCATGTTGTTCAAAGAGTTGATCTTTTCTCCATTTAATGAGTTTGAGAATGGTGGCAATCCTCCAAACCAAGTTCCTGTTTCAGACATTCTCCTTTTCAGTTTCATTTTGCATGGGTCATGAAGGACCTCTGATGCAAACTTCCTTAACTGACTTTTATCCTATAGCTTTCCACTTACAAGTTGATTTCTCTGCACAAACAATGCCTTTGATGCAGCATGTAAGCTGCTTTTTATGGCAGTCATATTTTGTCATGCAACTCATGAAATAAAAATATAACTTACTTTGTGTCATTCAACTGGTTCCATAAGGCTTCTGTTGCAAACTCATGGATAGAGCATTTCACTTCTCTGAGTAAGTTATGTAATGGAAAGAGTAATTTTTTTTTTCACAATTAAAAAGCTAATGAGTGACTAAAAGTTTCTATCTATAAAATACATTGTTATTAATTAGAACAAGTCAATGCTGGAATAGAAATAATTTTGCTTAGAAATTCCATGATCCTTTAACTGAAGTGTAGATGTCTTCATTTGGCAAAATGATCTGATGCCATAGCAACAGATGACAATTATGAGTAGCTTCCGGGAGCTGCCCACATTTCTTATCCTTCTCTCCAGCCTTTCCATATCCATGGTGCAAGAGATGAATTCTGACCTCTGTTTTAACCTTGAAAGAAACCAGCCCCCTTTCTAGCAAAGTAAGAAGCTCCAGTTCTAGATCACCTGGAAGGAAACCAAAAGCCCATCCATGCAGTTGACACACTCCTTGCTTCTGTGCTGTTACTGGAAGACTAGTTTAGCCTCAAACTGAATTTCAGATCAGACTGACATAATATGGGAGTATATTTATGTATTATATTTCAATCTTAAATGATGTGCTGTATCATTTTTTTTTTTAGGTTCAACTGTAGATTGAAGTAGACAGTGAGTTTTGAACAGTTTAAATGCTGTTTAAAAGAACTCCAATAACAGTAAATGAATTAAGCCAAATACAGCTGTCAAAAGTGAAATATTGAGGTTGCAAATGAATGCATACAGACAGCTGGAGGAACCACAGTGTACTCGTGTTTGTACTTCAGTTCCAGCTTGAGACATAAGTCTCAGGAGATATTGCAGCAGCACTAAATTAGGATTTTCACTGTTGTTGCTAACTGTGATGTTGCTGGATTTTGTGTTTGCTGACCTCGGTCCTGTAGAGTGGCTTCAGTTCTACCTCCAAATGATGGGCTGCATCCAACTTCTGAAAGTGTAAGAACAAAAACCATCTAACTCCTTAATAATTTAAGGAAAAGTCTACTGGAACCATAAGATGTGAAACTTGTTGTGTTTGTTTTAACTTGTTAATTAAAGAAGCAATAATTGGAGTCTTAAAAGAATCAACTGAAATCTAACATTACACACTTGTGCTATGCTGTAGTCTTGTAATTTCCAGCACTATTTGCTGAATTCTTCACATACTTTTCCTCTAATCAGTGTGTAATTACTATGTGGTATAATTAGATTAATATACTTTCATTTATTGCAGCTACCCATTAGAGGAAAATTTTGTACTTGTGCCTTTATATTTGTCCTGGATGAATGACTACAGAATTCTGTACTTTCATTAAAGTGGCCTCCAATTACTTAGGTGAAGAACAATCAATTTAATGATGTACTTTTCTTTTAAGTGTCTCTACTGCTTAACTTTTCTCTTTTTTTTTCTCTTCTTCCTTCATAGATGATGAGTACCAATGGAAGGGGCCCTTCTACTTCATCCAAGGAGCAGATCCTCAGTTTGGCCTGATGAAATCTTGGACAGTTGGAGACACTACAAATGGTGATGATGAATGGGGAGAAGAAATCAAATTGGCAGAGCAAGCAGTGCAGGCCATTAACAAACTGAATCCTAAGCCCAAGTTCTTTGTGTTGTGTGGAGACCTTATCCATGGGATGCCAGGTAAAGCTGTTAGAAGTGCAGAATGAGGGTCATAACTCCATTTTCTTTATATTTCAGATTGGCCATAAGGCTAATTTAATTTCCTTGACTTTAAAATAGTCTTTCGTAGGACTTGGTATGCTACTGTTTTGGTGTTTGGGGTGTTTGGTGTGATTTGTTCATGGTTCTTGAGATGTTATTCTGATTTCTTCATCTGACTTCCTGTATCATTCATTTTAGGGCTGTACTTTCATTAGTTAATTGCTTTCTTTTCAATGTCAGGGTTTTTTTTTTTTATAAAATAAAAGTCCTAAGACCACACATTCAAATTCTTTCTCTCAAAGACATTGGTTTGAGAAGACAAGTAGGGGCTCTAGGCACTGGGGAAAACAGTGCCAAGAAAATAGCAGAAATCTATGTGGCTGTTGGAGTACCTAAAGTGGGTGAAGCTCAGAGAATTCCCTGCCTTTCTAATGCTTAATAACTTCAAAGTCTTTAGTATTTAAATTCTTAAAATCCTAAAACTCAGTACATTCAAGTTTTAGCATTCTCTCCTGCTGCTGTGGGACTCTGAGCTCAGTGTGTTTCTGTGTGCACTCAGAGGAAGAACAACAGACCATCTAGAAAGGTGTTTTACAGTTTGACAGTCCTAACTTTAAAATAGACTGGTAATATCTATTTTAAGAAGATAAGTACTTTTCGTGGAAGTGAAAGGAAAAGTGGTGTTACCTGCTGACGAGTGGTCTGAAAAGCACATCTAAGCAGAGTGTCTTACATTTCTTAGCCTTGTTAAGAAGCAGAGTTGCAGACAGCCTTAGCTATGTAGCTGTCAGCACAACAATCCACCAAGGGAGCTTGCAAATAGTCCTGTGTGCTTTATGCTGTGCTCTGGTTTGCACTCCATTTGCACTTGAGGTGCTGCCTCCCAACTCTTGCTCACACAGCAAGGTTCAGAGTGTGTTGGAGACCTTTCCCTCATTCTTTCAGTGTCCTGCAGTGTTCATTTTAAAACCTTAGCTGTCAAATTGATTGACATTGTTTATAGGCTATAAAGCTCTCTTTTGATCAGAACACAATTTTACTGAAAGAGTGGGAAAGTGTAAAAACCAACGTATTTAAGCTTGATTGAATCTACTGTGTGACATGTCAGTAGCTTGATGATAGTGTGCCATTATGCAATTGTGTTGGTTTATGTGCTTCCATTAATTTTAGAAGTTTAACCCAGAATCATAAAATAATCTCTTTTTAAGAGTCTGTCCTACCTATAACAGAGTTTTAATAACTATTTCGATTAGGACTTTTAATTAGTGTGAGTGTTGCAAATATTTTGTCTTTAGTAGCCTTTGTAAGAGGAAGAAAATCTAGGACAAGTAATGGGTGTTCTTCATCCTCTCAGAAGACATCTTTCACTCACAAATGGAAATAAACCAGGAAGTTAATTTGATTTTACCTGGATATTTCTCGAAGACTCAGGAAACACTGCAAAAGTTCTGAGTATTTTTGTCTATAATGACTTTAAGCAACATTATTGTAAGGCTTCTCTGTTGGTAGAGTGTGTGATCTACAGAGAGGCAGCAGTTTTCTGACTTCCACTGGGCACTCAATGCTGAGTACAGTACATGCAATCCACTTGCCTGTGGCACTTTTTGTATTTGGTTTCTGCTAGTAATGGATCTCTGTAGTCACTGTTGTCCCTTTTACCAGTGTGTGTCTCAGACTTTCAGAATGTTTTAAGTACAAACCTGTCAGGGTTTTTAGAAATGTTAGTATTACTCATTTTGCTAAGAAACTTGTGAAAGAAACTGAATGGATGATACTGCTGAGATCACTTCCATTGTGTGATGTGTGCGCTGTGCGTTGTATAAATATTTGAAGTTGCCTAGTGCAATTTCCAAGAAATTGCAAGAAAGAGCAGTTCATTACTCAATGACCTTTAAGAGTCTTTTCTAGGCTAAATGATTCTATGATTGCATCACTTGAGCCACCATAATGTTTTGTTGAGTGAAATGATGCTAATACTTTGCAAGCCTGTGTTATCATGTGGTTATATAAAGTAGTTAAGGAAATGTACTATTGAAAGGAATTACCTTCGACTCAATTATTTCTTTCAGTGTTGCCTTTGTGTTTATACAAAGGGCTTGCTCTGCCATGTGTTGATAAACACATAAGTGCAATTTAACCATTAACTTTTACAGATAAGTACAATTTTGCAGTGAGCCATTTGTCTTTCTGTCTAAACTGATGACTGTGATCACAGTGAATCACTCAATGGTGCAGATACCTGTGGATTAACAGTCTTTGACTAGTTGCCTAGTCAAATATGGGAAATATGTCTTACTACAAGGGAGACAGAAATACAGAGCAGGAAAAAATACTTCAAAGAGGTTAAATCTACATCTGTGTGTTCAAAAGAATCCAAAACAACACTATAGCTTAAACTGCATGAATGTATATTTTGGCAGTGAAATAATAGGTTTTTCAGAAGGACGTTTTTCCTACCTTTTCCTCTTGCTTGCTTAGCTTCTGGAATAAAATCTCCTTCCAAACAGTTAAAGAAAACTCAAAGAAAATATATTTTAAAGCAAGACAAATCCTGTTTTAAAAATGTCTTATCAAGATAATTACTGACAATTTTTGTGGTTTGACTTGTCAATAGCTGTTATTGTATGTGCTGGTTTTGGCTGGGATGAAGTTCATTTTCTTCACAGTAGCTGGTATGGGAGTGTGTTTTGAACGTGTGCCAAAAATGGTATTCATACAGAATTCCATACAGAGATGTTTCAGCTATTGCTCAGCAGTGCTTGCACAGCTTTAATGCCTTTTCTGCTTCTTGTACCACCTGGCTAGGAGGAGGGTGGGGGTGTGCAGGGAGTTGTGAGGAAAGGCAGCTGTGACAGCTGACCCCAGCTGACCCAAGGGATATTCCAGGCCATATGACATCATGCTCAGTACATAAAGCTGGGGAAGAAGAAGATAGGGAGGATGCTTGGAGTTAGAATATTCTGTCTTCCCAAGTAACCATTACATGTTACATCCCAGCTTTCCTGGGATAGCCAAACATACCTGTCCACAGGCAGCAATGAATGTTTTGTTTTGCTTGGTTTGTGTGTGTGGTTTTTGCTTTACCTGTTACATTGTCTTTCTCTCAACCCATGAGTTTTGCTCTTTGATTCTCTCCCCATCCCACTGGTGGGCAGTGAGCAAGCAGCTGCATGGGGCCAAGGTGCCAGCTAGGGTCAAACCATGGCACTGTATGAGCCAGTGCAAGGCATTGGCATTAAGAAGCCACTGTGTGGGTCTTAGAGGGTCTTATTTGCTGCATATTCTTTTTATCAAAGTAGGAATTCTCTGATGCTTGAAATGAAAACATTCCACATTTTTGCAGTGAGAGTTTTTTGAAAACTTGGAAGTACTGCAGTCATAGTCTCAGGTTTTCTGCCACATCATGCTAAACTCTAGGGATTGTGGTGAGTTCCTGCTCACAGAGGAGTGAATTCTTAAATTTCTTCTCTTACGTGAGTTTGCACCACTAGTGTATTTCTGCACCAGTCATGACTCAAATAAAAAGCAGGAGCCATTGTATTCCACTGTCATATGGCACAAGTCTCTCTCCACTAATTCCATTACTAACACTGTGCTCAAGATTTCATACTTCTTTACAGAGCCCATTTAAATAGTTTCAACTTAAAGTGAAGACACAACGAGTTAAAAAGCTGTCAGCAACTGATTAAACTCTTTAAAATTTTCAGGAAATACTTCTCTTTCAAAATTATGAGAGCAATATTGACATCTACCAGCACTCTCATTATTTGTTACCAAAAAAAATCAGAAGTCGTAAGTTGCCTTTTGGCAGTACTGTATTAATTAAAAAGAGCAAACAGAGAATCTGTGGATTTTCATAGCAAATAGATTTTCAGATAATTTGAGCATATAAATGTTTGCAGAATTGGAGACCAGTTGTAATGCTTCTTTCAGTGGAGTAATTTAAGTATTTTCACTGTTGTAGCTAAGGATGTTTAGACCTATGTAATGCATGTCTAGTACAATAGTTCTGTAATCATTTCATACTTCTCGACTGAGGAGTCTCTCCCAAGAATAATTGCTATGTCAATTCCCTTAAGGAAGGGAAGGATTAAAAATTCATTTTTCAGTAGGCAAAAATCAGAAATTACATGAGACAAGACAGTGATGTAAGTTTAACAATTGTGAATTTGGCCTGTACATGCATCTTAATGTCTCAAATTGCCTTTTAAATCACTTGGGTATATCACCTCTGTTAAACTGACGACATCAGCGTTACTGAAGGTGTATCACAGTTAGTGCTGCAGCATGGATATTGATAACTGAAATTCAGCTCTATTTTATGAGCTATTGTTCAGTGTCTGTCAAGTTCTTTGGATTCTACTGCTTCATAATCAATGCCTGCCAATAAAAAGGGAGGGGGGAACAGTCTGTAAAGATTTTATGGTGGAGCGCTAAGTGTAAAGGTTTTGATGAATGTTTTTACAGCATGCACTGTAGCCATTTAGCTGAACCAATGTTGAAGCCTTTTGCAAAGGAACTCCAAGAAATCTCAGCATTCCAGCAGCTAGAAGTGATGAACAGAATCCTGATCAGCTGGGAAGCAATCAGGCACAGCACTTGGAATCCATTACAGATGTCATTAGAGCAACGAAGTAATCACATCTTGGTATTTAGCTGCTGATTAAAAGTAGTTTGTACTCTGAATATTATTTTCAGAAGTTTTTCTTGATTACATAATCAAGAATAGAATATCTATTCCTGGTAACACTAATATTGTGGTACATAATCAAGAATTTTAAGCAATACCTTATAGTGCAACTGTTACTGAATATAATTTCTATAGACTTGATGCTTATGCCTATATACACCATGACAATGACAGTTCCTTCTGAAGGCATTTGTGTGCATGAAGTGTAATATAATTTAGTGTGACAAAAATGGTAGTCTGCAAAATATTGTTGATTGGATAATGTGTTTGTTTCCCTGCGTTTGTCTAA